TATTCGATCCTAACGAAGTTACCGTCGAGATCGGGACAACTTCGTAGCGTCGTACGGCAGGGTCGTATCCGGTGGAGAGATCGTATCCGGTAAAAGTGAACCGGCGGCGGGTTATGGGAGAGCACTTCGGCAATGGGGAATCGCGGTGGCCCCGACGGTGGTTAGCGTTTCGCTAACTTTATTTCAATGCAGCCGGAACGAAGCGGAACGTCTGCTAACGGTGATGAAATCCCGATCCCCAAAGTGCACCGTCGTAGAATGCATTTCCGTCGCTCGAACCGATTATCCGCGCTCTCGGTAAGACCCGTGGAGAAAAAAAGGAAGAGAGAGAGAGGAAGACGAAGCGGAAAAGGAAGAAAAAAGAGAAACAGCGACGACCTTATAACGGGCGGGCGGGGAAGTAGCGTATTGGAATTCAATTCCGCGCGAAATTATATCAGGCCGGATCGCGGCCGCTTGTTTGCACGCGGGCTTAGTTAATATTCCGCCCGAGCAAGAAGCCCGAATTCCGGAATTGCTTCGGTTTCATTTCGTTCGGCAGCCGCGGACGTATGCATGTATTTTGCGCGCGATGCGACCGGCGCGCAACGAGGTTCCGCGCGAAGACATGAATTTATGATGGATCGTTGCCGCGCAGAACCGCGCTGTTCACCGGGCCCTTTGTTTGACGTTTACGCGCGACGACCCGAAAGTTTTCATTAGGCACGCTCTCCTGCACGTCTTCCCGCGAGAAACGGAGGGAACACCTGCGAAATCTATTCCGCTAATTTACGGGAATAATTCCGAAATTTCGACGCTCCCGGATTAGAGGAAGATTTCGCTAGAATTCGCGCTATTTCTTTTCCATCAAACTCTCATCGTCGTTCGAAGTTTCTCGGTGGCGAGATTCCTCCACTCTTCCCTATCGTGCGCAATGCGAAAGACAAGAGTGTTTGAGAAAAAATTTCGTGTGTCTTTGAAATATCTTAGTTGCGATATTAATGATCTTTATCAGCGCGAGTGGGACGCGATTTAAATCAGGCGGTGCAGGCGGGAGGGTTCTTTTGCAAACAACGGGACAACTCTCTCGCGGGCTTTGCGCGATTTTCCGCCCGAGGGGTTTGTGAAATCGCGCGGCCGTCTCTAATCAAAGGTCCTCGCCTGCTGGCGCTGATTTAAAGCGGGTTTTCTGACGCGGTCTGAATACCGCCGGCGTGGAAATATACGATCCAAGATGGACTTCTCGTGTAAAGTCGTAAAAGTCGTATATGCGCCTTTCCGAACTGTCGTCGTTCTCGTCTTCGTCGCTGCAGCCGCCGCCGTCGTCACCGGCCGGCCATTCGCGACGCGCATACACGATCCTCGAAAATTAATCTTACGAGTCTAGTTTAATCTCGGCTTTCGCAACGAGTCTAATCCCCGACTACCGGCGCGAACCTACCGTAAGATCGTGGTCTCTCGCTCGCAGGGATGAAGTTGCTCGAAATCACTACTTGCGCCCCTGTCAAAAAGTTCGGCGAAGAAGCGAGCGAGCGAGCCGCAGGTAGAAAGACGACGATGAGTGGGAGAAGGAGGAGGCCGGAAATTGAGCCGAATGTTTCCGTGGGATACGTCGCGGATGTCGGGAAAGTCGGGAGAGCTGTCGGATACGGCCTGTGTGTACGAACACTCAGTGGGTTTCTCCGGGATTGTGTCGGAAGCTGCGCCGTTAACGGCGCGATTGGCGCGTCTCGCGCGAAAGAAGAGAATATCGGCCGGGATGTAATTGCGAAATGATTCTCGCTTGGAGGAGTTTGTATCGCATCGAGTAACCTCCCTCCTTCCCCACTCTCTTCTCGTTATCAGATCCAAGAGCAATTAACGCGTCTCTCTCTCTCTCTCGTTCTCGGGGGAGAGCGCGAGGAATTTACGCGCTACGCGTTTCCGCCGTTTGCACCGTTGATGTCGCGAGAAGTCGCGAAATTCGCGCGGAAAAAGGTCCCCGCGTGACACATAGTCGCCGACGCGGGCCGGGTTCTCCGAGTCTCCGTAAATTACAGAAACTCGCGATGGCTCGCAGCCGTAAATACTTGGTTATCATAGTTGGCGGAAGCACGACGGGGCATTATACCTGCATTCACGTTCATCGTGGTCAGAGATGGCGGCACCGCTGGACAGGGCGCTCAACGTTTCCATTCATCGGTGTGGATATCAAATGCAATAGTTCATGGCGGTGTTTCCGACTAGGTGGTCGACCAGTCCTCGACCTCTACCTCTCCTAATCCAACCACCCAGCGTTTCACACCGGCCCCTGGCAGATTTACAGGCGCCTGGCTTGATATCTGCATCCGAGAGTCCCCCCGCGGTAGACGCACGTGTTCCGGATCTCCTCTCGCTTTCCCCCCCCTCTCTCTCTCTCTCTCTATGCGGTACTCTCCGTACTTTCCGTCACACCGGTGACTTCGCGACTGCGTCATTTCGGATAATTACTCGAGTAATCGACGCGGTCGAATGCGGGATTAAAGGTCGAGAGAGAGAGAGAGTTGAGAGACAGCTCGGTAATCAAGCTCTGCGCCGTCCTCTCGTCGTTCTCGAGATTAACGTGATACATCAGTCGGCTACTAACTCCGTGTTCCTTCTCCGCTTCTTTTTTTCCAACTATTTACTTTGGTCTCGTACTTTCGGATGTACTTTGACGCGGTTGATTCCTCACGAGACCACCACCGCCGCCGATTACGCCGGCGCTGAACGATGCTTTTAAGAATCGTTCGGAGGAGCACGCCGCGGGCGTTATTTTTTCACGAGAGAGAGAGAGAGAGAGAGAGAGAGAGAACTGTAATTCTCATTTCTCCTGTTACACTCTCCGACCCCGGTGAGATATCACTCTCCATTCAGCCGCCATCGTCCGTATATCAGCCGCATAAGCTGCTAAATAAAACAGAGCGCGGCCCGTGCCCTATAAAGCGTTAATATCAGAGCGCGCTATGGCGGCGTCAAGTCTCCGTTGTGTAACCTTTGTCTCCAGCTTTCGCGAAGGAGAAGCGTCCACTTGTTAAAGCGGTGATCGCGAATGGACGAGCGAGCGAGCGTCTCTCGGCAATGGGCGAATCCGCGACTCGTGAACGAGCAGTTGGATTTCATCGCGCACGTACGGCAAATCGAATTGTTAAGAAAAATCTGATCCCACGCTCGAAAAGTCCAGTCAGCAAGCATGGCAGCAGCAGAGAGAGAGAGAACTATTCACACGAGAACGAGCTTGCTGCATTTGCCGGCTCGTGCGTTTGTAACTTCTTGTCCGCCTTTCGCGAACACACACGTAACGCTGGGAGAGCGATGCGTACAGCGGCGCACGTTCGCGGTGTAACATTTGCACGCCCGCAGCGCGCGCGTGCATCCTCCCTATCTTCAAAGGCACGGAATAATGGAATTGCTATTTCGGTGCGCAAACATTTATTCCCGGATACCGTTCGCGTTATAATTTCTGGAGTGACATGTCTGTGATATCCCGTGCCCAGAGGCCCTGCCTCGCGTCGAGATAGCTGATGATCGCTTTAAAGAACACCGGAAGTCCGCCCTTCTCTCTCTCTCTCTCTCTCTCTCTCGTGATGCGCCACAAAGAAAAAGGCCGATCGCGTAATCGAACCGCGTTACGCTCGAAGGAATTGCGCGGGCGCGCGGTAAACGGTGGAGAAACGTCGGAGGAATGTCGAGAACGCCTCGTCGATTTGTTTAACGTCAATAATGCCCGTCTCTCGGGCTCCGCTGCTTTACGGGCGCGGACATCGCGGTGGGTAGCGTGAAAATAAAAAGAGCGCAGAGGCGAACCTTTCTCAACCAATTCGCCGCTCGAGGCGTCTTCGTAAAAAATCCAACGGCGACGGTGTGTGTTTGATCGATGACGCGAGTGTACCTTCCTTAGAACTTCGGCTCGCTCGCTATAATCCGAACCACGCGCGCGCGACTTTCTGTCACTTATACGTAATTTCCTTAACGCCACAGTATTCGCGGTTTGATACACACACGTACACGGGCGCGTAACCCAGTCGCAAATTACTATAAATTACTTCATCGACTGCCGGGCGCGAACAATATGCAACAAACTAGCGGCAATTATCTGCGAAACTTCGTTATACGGTACGCGGCGCGAATAACTCGCGAATAAAAGAACATTAAACTGTTGGAATAATATAATAACGGAACGGCCGGATGATCCCGCGGCGTTTTACTTCTCCGACGGAGAGACCGCGCTGTGAAAAATTATAATTGATATGGACGGACCGGAAACCGAGGGGGAATAATCCGAAGGCGAACGCTGGAGAAAGGTAGACGGCGGGAAAAGAATCGCTGGTCCGTTGAGCTGGAATACAAAAGTCGGCTGGAGACTTATGAATTAAAGCGAGGATGTCGGTCTCGACCGCACGTCTCATGGAAAGAGAGAGAGAGAGAGAAAGAGGCAGTTTTTCTTTCCCTTAATGAGAATGCGCGTCTCGAATATTTATTATTAATTCCGCGATTAACAACTTGCGTCACACTGTGCAAAATGTATATACCGCACTATTCTCTCTCTTAATTGGGGCATTGTTTATATATACATGTACATTTTAGGACGCCCTTTTTGAATAAGTAAAACGCTGCTAATTAAATTCATGTAAAATTCAGACCGGTCAAATCTCCCGAGGGGATGGAGGTTTTCTTCAGTGTCTTGGGGAAATAAATCATCCGATACCATTTATATTAGACATTACTTAGAAATAACGTTAAGATTCGCGAAAACTACCGAAAATAAGAGGTCCGTAAAAATTGATATCTATGATAGAGTGAATTGACACAATTATGTCTAATCTAACAAATAGCGTGTCACAAAAACTTTGCAAAAATAATCGAGCTATTTTCCACGTTAATATCCATCTCCTTAACGTGCATGTAATATGTGATAATAATCATGAAATGATTGAATTGATCCTCGATCGACCAGTGGTCCTCGATGAGAACTTTCAAATGCGCAGCACCGTTATATAAATACACGCGACTTTGATTTGCAGGTGGCCTGGTTGCGCGTCGACACGCAGACCATCTTGACGATAGCGAACCACGTGATCACAAAGAATCACAGGATCGCGGTCTCCCATAGCGACCATCGGACGTGGTTCCTTCACATACGGGAGGTGCGGCAAGCCGATCGGGGCTGGTACATGTGCCAGATAAACACGGACCCCATGAAAAGCCAGATCGGTTATCTGCAGGTAGTCGGTGAGTAAGGCTATGTATTTCTCGTTAACAAGGATCGCTGCGGTTATTCCGATCATTTTTACTTGCCGTTCTCGCGGCAAGTGCGTGTAATGCGCGTAACGCCGTACTTGAAATAAAGACGCCTCGATTTCCACTCGATATTAGTTCCCGCTCGCCACTGCGCCCTCGAATCGATGAGGGCTGCTGGATATTCAATTAGCGCTACAAGAAGCCAATAACGCGGCGTGCCGTCGAATGCGCGCGTACGGCGATGTTACATCCCAATGCGCGGGAATAACGCGCGATCGTCGGAAAGGTGTAGAGCGGCGGAATCACAAACCCGCCAAACCGATGCGAACTTTCGACCGGGGCACGAGTTAGTCCGCGGGCCCTGCAACTTACAAAGTGGCTCTTGCCGCAGTTCGAAGACTGCGCGAGTACTCACGAACTGCAAAGCTTCGGTCGTATATCGCTGCTCGAATGCACTCGCGAGTAGATTATATAGAATGCTAATAGGAGCGCTTTCATCGGTTCCTTCGTTAAAGAGACTTCGTTTCGGGCTCTGCGCGACTCCCTTCCTCCTCCTCCTCCACCACCTCCTCCTCCATCTTTCCCTCTCTCTAGCTGTGTCATAATTTGCTCTCTCTCTCTCTCTCTCTCTCACACAGTTTTCCCTCTTTTCCCTTTTTCACGTGAAAACTTTCTCAACCAGTCGTTTCGCTATGTCCTTCCACGCTAATGATGAAATCTGCTATCGTCAGACCTCTCGCTATTTATACTAAAGTCCATGTTAAGGTTTGAATACACCGGGCTTAATCCTTGCGCACCCACCGTGCCCGGGTAAAGTGGCAATTTCCATAGATAATGTTACTCGTAATTGTACGGAAATAGGATGATGCGTCGGAGATATGCGATTGCGGTTGTGTGTAGATGCACGATCGTGTAGGATGCACACGAGTCGGAGCTCGGCTACGCGCATTAAGCAGCGTAGATTCCGTCGTTGTAATATTGAGTGATGCGGCAACGTGTTCGTTTCTTACATTCGAGATAGGCGAGATAGACGAAATTGTTCGAGACGCGATTTCACGAAATTTTCATCAATTTACGATCCGTCGGAGAGGAGGAAGAGAAAAGGAGATAGAGTGTAAGATATTAGCTTTACGTTTCGCAAGGCGGGAAGGAAAATTCATAGCGTATCATCGGATATTATAGCAAAGCACATCGTAGTTACCGAAGCGAAATGTAAGAAGTATCCGTGCTCTTTTCTCGAGAGGGATTCCCTTATCAGCGATGCGGACGATTCAAAACTCATTATTTCTTGAATCTTTTCGTTGTGCTTCAAAGTCGGCGATGTCGGCAGCGATAGATATCCCTCTCCGAGATTCCCACGTGCACAAACTGTACTTTCTTTAATGGGCTCTCGATACCCGTCCGCGGATATATTCGTTTATTTGCGTATCCGTTCACCGGTCATGATAATTAAACGTTACAATAACGATATCGCGTCGAATCGGAAAGCGGCGGAGCGAGCGCCGGAGGAATCGATCGCGAATACAATTACCAGGATTTATACGAAATTTATACGAAACGTATCGTGGATTCCGAGTTGAAATTTCAGTTCTACATTAAGTCTTCAGAGGTTTTCTATTGTTCGAAAAGTTTTCTATCGGTGCTCTTTTTGATGTCACAAATGGAAAGTTACTTCCGTTTTCTTCACTAGAATGCTTATGTAGAATTTAAAATTTCCTCCCGGAAAGTTTAAATTCGCGTTGCAGTTTTTAAGTATTATTAATACTCCTTTGATGCTGAAAATGGGGAGGTATTTTCGTTTTTTCCACTTTTTCTCCGCTTGAAAACTTAGTGTAGAAATAAGTAGACTTCCCGACTAGAAATTTACTCCATGGTTCAGTTCGCGGGTTGATCTTAACTGATTGTTGGGCCCATTTAAGGTGCTATCGGATCCTAAGAAGTCGTGTAATGCTGCGTGATAATCAAGACTTTAATCAAAATTCATTATAATGTCCTCATCAGATTATGTTGTTGAATCTCTACCACGTTTTACTTTAGATAACAGAAAGGATTATGATTAGATTCCAATTTATAAAAAGCAGAAAGTGCTAAACTAATGAACAATATCTACAAAATATAAATCGAGAAACAGATACTGTTAGAATAGGACGATTTTCGACTTTAATAATGCAAGTAATATATATAGAAGCAGAGAAATCATTTGCATTATCAAAGTCGAAAATCGTCCGATTTTAATATTTATTTTTCGATTGTACATGTGCGGAATGTTTGAAACTTTTTACCAAGCCAAAAGTCAATTGGAGCAAAATAAACGGAAAGGTCAGGTACTATTTTGAAAAATTCACATTAATTATTTAACAATTGCAAAATGGTATATAATAATTGTACTGTTCAGTTTAACCCATATCTACACACAATGAATGTATCGAAAATTTTCAGATGCCCTACATGCAACAAATTAAAAAAATGTCAATGAGTGATAATAAAATTTTATATAAAATATATGTATATTTATTACAAAACTTTTTATAATTTGAAATTAAAGAAGTAGCAAGTATTTTTATTAAAAAAAAAAATGATAAAAGTAAAATTTTTATCAATCAAACTTGCTATATTGTAAGTTTGCTACAAAAAGTCCGTATTAGAAACTGATAATGCAAGTCATAATAAGTTTGCGGAAAGGACTTGATCAATAAGATTTTACCGGTAGATTTTTTCAGTGCATAATTAAGGTTATTACAGTAAGATCACTTCGCCTAGTTTAGAACCTTGTGCTCAGTGTCACGTAAACCCGATGACAATTTCTATTCGTGTTAATGCAGGACTAAAATTTCGGAATATTACGCCGTATCGTATCGCATACCGTACGTCGTGCCGGACGGATTTCAGGATGCTCGTTTTCCGCATGCCCTCTCGGAGGAACCACTCTGGTCTCTCTTTCTCTCTCGGTCCGGCTGCTGGTCGCGACGTAGGGCTCGTTGCGCCGCGTTTGTTGTATACTTTACGGCGTTCCGGCTCGGTCTTCCGCCGTTCGTACCGAAATCAAATTGGCATTCTCGAGATACGGCCAGGCTCTCGCATCCCATCTGTAGCAATCTAATCCCGTGCGCCTGGGCTTTGCTGCTGCTCGAGCCGGCGCGCGCCAGGACGACCTGACCTGACCCTCTTTCCCAGGTTCAGAGCGATGAGGCGCCTTCCTCGCCGCGTACAGCGCGGCCGGCTACTTACGGAACTTGGTCTCCCTCGTGAGATCATTTCGCATCCCCTCACGGCCCTCCCGTCCCTCTCTCCGGCGAGCGTACGCCGCCGTCGTCGTCGCACGCTTTCTATTTTAACGGCGTTCGCGCGCAGCTCGTGGGAGTGCTACGTCGTCGCGGTCGTCGCTTAAGAAATCTTCTCGCCCGTGCAGGTAGGCCGCCCGAGAGAGGACGGGTAGATCGCGAACCCTTCGGGAACTCGCCTTTATGCGAGCGAAGAGCGCTTCTGGTTGTAAATAGCACGCTGTGTTCAGCGGGGCATACGGAACGAATGGCCTCCGGAAGAAGCATCGAGTTCGCGCCGTCTCTCCCGGTGATCTTTATTTCACCATCCTTGCTCTCCTCGCGACACGCCTATTCGCTCGTATCGCTCGAGCGAAATCGATATCCGATGTACAATATTCTCAATTATACGATTCTCTATAATTATCACCGCCATTTCGGTATATACGTATATATCAGAAGTTACGAAGCAGTGCATATTCATTAATCATATTCAGGTCAGCTTTTAGAGGAAACCTCAAATACACTTGAGAAATCTTCCCGCGTGTGGGAAAGAGAGTGGCTGACAGCGCTTCGTGGGTGGAAACCGATTTTCGGTGCAAATGATTCTCTGTATAATTAGAGGCTTTAGCTTCGAGGTGGCAAATCATTTCAACCTCTTGTTAAAATTAAAATGTAAGGCGTTTATTTGTAATAGTAATTTATAACACACTTTCGGCACTAATGATATATGTTGAAACAAGAGCCAAATTAAAAACTGAATAATTTGCGCAGCTATATATACATGTATCCGCACTTTTTGAATATTTCATTCCTTTTGCATAATCGCGCGAGAAATCAGATAAATAAGCTAAACTTTTATAGATATCGGAAGTTAAAAAGGTCTCATTATTAACTTTTAATACTCTGCATCCGTTAAAAGTGAAACAATAGTGCTTTATAATCAATTCAAGCCGCTTTTTTCCGCTTCGATTCAAAAACAATCGATATTTCCCATCAGGATAATCTAATTGTACCAACTGATCTTTATTTGGAAGAGGAACGCGTACCTAACGTGCGAAATTCTTGAGGACCGTCTACAATAGTAAAATATGCAGTAAGCTAATTGATCAATCGGACTCATAGATTCTGAAAATAAATCAACCGTGGTCGGCCAATTAGTTTACTGCTTACACCTTATTACATACTTTACGGCTGTTGTAGACGGTCCTTAAGCTTTCGCGTTCTCAATCGCTGGGCCCTGCCGGTGCCACGGAGTATCAATGGGCACTTGTTAGTAAACAACACGTGGGAGCGTGACAGTGTTACGTCGCGGACCTATCCCCACTTCCGCGAACGGGCCGCCGGTCACGTGGTGGGGGGACCACGTGGCGCAGACTGACGTTCGAGCGGACCGAAGGCAGTAACTCGCAAAGGAATCTACTCGGCGCAGCCGCGTCTATGTCGGTATTCTGTCGCCGACTCGAATATTGGGACTAATTCGGGACGTTCTGGAAAGTGCGACGCTCCTTTTTCACTCGTGATAGAGTCGACGCTTCTTCCCTTCGTCTTTACCGTCGTGATAATAATCAGGTCAGTTATTCCTGTGTATCGAAGCGATAAAATAACTTAAAAAGATTTCCTCGTGAATTATTCGCATGTTTTGAAACTATGGTGGATGAATAGTTTAACGCTCTGCCAATATTTCTTCTCGCATTTTTACCCGATGGCTTCTCGCCACCGCTGACGATG